TCTTATACACATTTATTTATGAGTTATAAGTAAAGAAAATACTTACTTTAGTATGGCTATACTCGTAACCATCAGGATTCGCACATGGCATTATGTACCATTCAAATGTATCAACCAGCATAATCACGTCTTCTTATACACATTTATTTATGAGTTATAAGTAAAGAAAATACTTACTTTAGTATGGCTATACTCGTAACCATCAGGATTCGCACATGGCATTATGTACCATTCAAATGTATCAACCAGCATCTTCACATCTTCTTCACTATTGTACTTTTCTACAAGCTGGAAAGCGTATTAGTGTATTACCTTTTTTATCAAATAATTTCCATAGCAGAGCTTATGCACGAAATTATTTCAAAAATCATACAACGTTTCACAATAAAAATAACTACTACAAAAGATATTGCAATGTTCTTCAAATGAAATTGATATTAATTGCTCTATTTTTCCATGGAGGGTCTTTTAATAATGTAATTAAAGTAGTGTTAGATTGTTTAAAATTACAAACAACATAATACTAATTTATTCATATAGCTGTAAGTGTGATAACCCATCTCCTAATATAGATTCGTCATCGCTTGTAATATTTGCAGCTTTACAAGAACGTTACTAGCTAATAATTAGACTTAGATGATCGTACAGACCGCTAACCATGGCACAACCATAAGTACCTTATGCTTATCACATATGTAGCTGTGGATCCTTGTTTTCAACTGCATAGCAATGTACACAGATGTAGATATAGTGATCCATTCTTTAGCATCGACTTTTTTGGCCATGTTTTGTGACCTATTCTCTATCATGGACAGTTTTTTGCTAACATGTATCGTACCCATTTTCCGGTATGTACCTCTTTTACTGGAAACTTTTAACTATATGTTGTGGTCTAACTGCCATTTGTTTTATTATGTGTTCTGATCTATTTCTTAGCATGGACATTTTGTATTATGTTATGATTCATTCTCTAGCTGGCAGTTATTTTAATGTGTTCTGATCTATTCTCTATCACGATCTTTTTTTTTTTACTATATGTTAGCATGGACATTTTGTACTATGTGTCATGATTCATTCTCTATCATGGATTTTGTTTACTATATGTTGTGAAACCTTTCTTGGCATAGACATTTTTTTTATTACGCATGTGTTGTTATCTGTGCTATAGCATGGACATTAAATGTTGTAATCCATTCTCTAGCATGAACATTTTTTTAGTGTCTTGTGGTCCATTTCCTAGCACTGATATTTGTTTTTTATGTGTTATATTTCATTCTCTAATAAGGACATTTTTTTTACTACGTGTTGTAATCCATTACCTATCACAACAATTGTTTACTATATTTTGTGATCCATTCTCTAGTATGGACATTTTATTTGTAGCTGTAGATCCTTGATTTGTACCTGCGTAGCTATGTACGTAGTTGTAGTTATAGAGATCCATTCCCTAGCATGGATTCCAGAATCTATCCACAAGATTGGTTTGTCTTTCAAAGTTCCTCCACTGATCTATAATAAATATACAAACAAATAAACTGATAACATAATAATCATGTATTGTTTCTCATTTAATCTCAGATAGAAATAAGTTGGTGCAGTGTCTTTTAGAAGGTATTAACTTTAATTGTAAAAAAAATAATCTCAACAAAAATAAGACAATCTGCAGTCGATAACGTGTACTTAAATTTATAAAATTTTAAAGGGTCCAAAAGAAGCTTATTAGCCCATCAAGGATGTTCCTTCCAGCTCTCAACTATAACTACCCCTTATTACTCAAGTATATTACATGTCATATGACATTTTATTTTTACAATTTGTTTTATTGCGATTTTTACCTTGATAACTTTAAGGTCACGGCCTTCATAGGACATCCCGATTGATATATTTGAAGCAATATCAGAGTGTTCAGAAGCTAACGATTCCAGATAGCCATGAATCTGTAAAAGAAAAGAAAGTTATAATACATGAATAACTGGAACTGTCATTTATTACAACAAACTGAGTGATTTTACAAAAATTGTGGAAACAAACTTCAACAACTTGCATCACACAAACAGAATCAAGAGAGTTAATTATTTAGCATCTGTAAGTCATCAAGGATCGAAGCAGGTTATTTGCATCACGCAAACAGAATCAGGAGAGTTAATTATCTAGCATCTGTAAGTCATCAAGGATCGAAGCAGGTTATTTGCATCACGCAAACAGAATCAGGAGAGGTAATTATCTAGCATCTGTAAGTCATCAGGGCTCGAAGCAGGTTATTTGTATACGCAAACAGAATCAGGAGAGTTAATTATCTAGCATCTGTAAGTCATCAAGGATCGAAGCAGGTTATTTGCATCACGCAAACAGAATCAAGAGAGTTAATTATCTAGCATCTGTAAGTCATCAAGGATCGAAGCAGGTTATTTGCATCACGCAAACAGAATCAAGAGAGTTAATTATCTAGCATCTGTAAGTCATCAAGGAACGAAGTAGGTTATTCTTAGGTCTATTCTCAAGTGGATAAACTGTCAAGTTTAAAAGTATATATATTTACCAAACTAGAAAATGTAACTGTAACTCGCATGACATTTGTTTCATTTGTTTTATTGATGGTAAGATGGCGTGTGTGTCGCCACTCGGAAAAGGTACCCGTGCAAAAACGCGGTATTAACATCTCTTTCATCTGGCTCCGGCTTCACGTAAAACTAATGGCAACGGCTGCCAAACTCAAACCGTTCATATGATTACTTATCCATTAATTAAAAAACACGATCTGTGGGGGTTAAATACAATCTGTGAAGTCTATTGAACCCTTCTATCACATTTCATAGAGATTGCTTCAGTCAGTTCCTCACAACTTATGACGTCAAGACACCAGACAAACAGACAACTTTCGGTGAAACTTTCTTCAAAGAATTTACGAATAAACCGTGTTATATTAGACAATGATAACATTTTATTGGGCCATTTAATAGATCAAAGATAAACACTGAGTGTATATTGTACAAACTGTCACCTGGGAGTCGATACGAAATCCATCCAAATGATAGCAGTAATACGTCCTTACAATATGGCAACAGATATACAGTGACAACACAATTAGATGACACGTATACATACCCTCAAGTTGAAATTATGGAGGACTAACGGTATTCTATAAGACCGATCTGTTTACGTTAACACAGCGATGTTATGTCGAGGGTGTCAGCCTCAGGGCTGACGGCATTCTATAAGACCGATCTGTTTACGTTAATACAGCGATGTTATGTCGAGGGTGTCAGCCTCAGGACTCCTATAAGAACGATCTGTTTACGTTAATACAGTGATGTTATGTCGAGGTTGTCAGCCTCAGGACTACTATAAGAACGATCTGTTTACGTTAATACAGCGATGCTATGTCAAGGGTATCAGCCTCAGGACTGCTATAAGAACGATCTGTTTACGTTAATACAGCGATGTTATGT